CTGTGCGTAGACAGACAGCTTGGGTTACCTGGAATTTCTGACAGCGTTGTCCACAAGAGACCAAGGTAGTCTTCCTGGGACAGCATTTGACACGAAGCCTGGCAAACCTGGCAGGACGAACAAGCAGAAGACGTATTAAAGGGAGAGTTCCACATTTGTATGCGGTTTTGAAGCCGAAAGAACCGTGTTGAAGGCCTTTTGGTGTAGTTCACGGCCCTGCCCATCTTAAGACCTAAACTCCTCTGGTTTCTGAGCCACACGCTCGCAAAGATGAGACCAGTTCGGGGAGAGTATTTCAAGGTTACTTTGGCATTCATGGCGTCATAATAACGTCATTTAAGTCCTGTTACTGTATAAGCCATGCGGGGATCGAGGCCGAAAAAAATGCGGTGATCCAGCCATTCATATCTGGCGTTCATGAGCACGACTTCCATACATAACGGCTGTCCATTGCCTTTCGATTAATGCTATATAAGCTGCGATGAAGTAATCAAGCAATGATTTGGGAAGGGGGCACTTCAATGGCCCTACAGCCCAATAACCCCGAAATTAGTGTTTAGCAAGGTATTTACTGTGTACTGGCGGAAAACAATTTGCATTTGTCTTTTCAATTCGGTTGCGATAGTTGACCCTTTCCCGAAATTGTATAGCACTGCAACATGCACATTGTGGCCAAAAAACAATGCGGACTACAATCAGCATTTGGGGAACCACTGCCCTATCTAAAGAGTGAAAATTGACGCCCCTGGAAAGGCATTGTGAAATGAATATCGGTACATTTTACCCGTCCATCTTATTGAGTCATGGAAACCTTGTCTAGACAGGGTACTTCGGGCTGGTTATGACCAAAAACCAAATAAACTCAGGATAAAAGAATGTCGAGTTTTTCGAATTTTGAGAACCCAGTGCTAACACACCGGAAGCATTAGCTTATTATGGTACCATACGTGGTAACAAAACAAGAAGAAAACAAACAAACAACTGCTATTGATCATTACCTTCAGCGGCTTAGTTTCCAAACTCAGACCAAGACAGCTTGACAATCGCGGTGTGACACAGGTAGGGTACGTACCTGCCCCTCCTGATCGACACCAATGCTGCCGCACAGCTCAGCGTCTGGCAGTTTAAACAGCTCCGTGCTGACTAAAGCCACGCCGTAGTAGCAGAACGTGAGGCACCACCTGATGGCAGAGTCAGGCTCAGAGATAAGCCAGAATAAAATATCAGGATGGAACACACGCACACGCGCGCGCGCATGCACACACACACTGCGGCTGCGCCCCTGACTGCAACACTGTAGTTGACATCTGGCTACTACACCGGTTGTCATCAGGCCTCATTGGTCCTATTCTATGCTTTCTTTGAACTCCGCCCACACCCCTGCCCCGCTCCTTGCAGATTGAAAAGTATGTACATGTTGTCGAATGCCTTGTATGGATGGTGTTATGCTCACAGCGTTTGTTTAGAAGAGCTTGTAACGTGTGTCCTGATCTCACGCCTCAAGTTATGCTGATCTAGCTCGCGGGTAATGTTCCCCTTGACCTCGTCAGACATGACTGCAGAGCGTTTGACGTGCCGTGCCGTACAATCAGGGGCGGATTGTCAAAGGGGGCGCAACATTGTGGGCCCCCTAGAGTATAGATGTCCGAGTTTGGGTCTCTCACCCCTAAAAATCCTCGTATTCCGGCCTTTAAATATAAGATTCCTATACATGCCATTTTCATACGGACAGCCATCATATTGTGCGTAGCCTTAGAAAACGAGACGTGCCACGCATGCAGATGCATGGTGCGTGTTAATTTTTCCCAGAACATGGTGGAACCTGTGGCTTTGAGGCTAAGTATGTCGTAGTAAACACGGCAGAAAATGCTACAACTGGCTGTTATATGCTCTCAAAATCAAGCACGAACTTGATTCCTTGCTTATTTACAGCTTGTCCGTAAGTCAGTGCTGATGGCTCATAACTAGTGCAGAGTTTTTGGTTTGACCGTTATGAAGAAGTACGGAGCATACTAGCGTTCAAAATGTGTGAAAAACGCAATGCACAAGCATAGTAAGTGCCACAATTTCATGGGACGAACGTAAGACCAAGATGGTGGGCCCCTGAACGATCGGGAGTACCCCGGCAGGTCAACACATATGTCTAACATACAAGGCCCGGCCAGAGCACAGGACCCTCCGAGCAAAGGGGAATAACCCAAAGCCAGTGTACATAAATCAGTGCTACTGTGCAATCAAGAACGTCCGGGCAGGTCAACAGAAGGGGCCTTGATGAGAGTGAAGGGTTCTCCACAAATGAGTTCAAAGGGAAAGAGCCCTAGACCAATGTAGAGGGACCCTGCGCATCGAGTGGCTCGGTGTGTCACCTGGTATCGGCCCCAGAAACCGCACAAGGTCTTGCGAGCAAGTGGAAAGAACCCGATACCAATATGAAGGGCTCCTGAACAACCGAGTGTACCCCGGCCCATGTGGCCCGGCAATGGCGTATAGAGGTTTTCGGGCGAATGCGAAGAATACGTGGACTTAGAGTGCCCAGGCATGTTAGTAGATGGTAGGACCCTACTATCGTAGGGTCATTCAAACCCTACATTCAAATAAGGAGTGTCCAATAACCTTCGGGGGCAAGGCCTTCGAACAATCGAGTGTGCCCGAGCAGGTTAACTGATGGCGCCACCACAAGAGTGTAGGACCCTCCACTGAAATTGGAAATACCCAAGACAAAATGAAGAGGGCCCCCGAACGATGGAGTGTGCCCGAACGGGTTGACAAATGGGGTCCCACCAAAAGCGTACGGCCCTCAAAAGGCGATGGGAAGTACCCAAAACGAAGCGTGATGACCCCTTAACGATTGAGTGTGCCCGGACAGCTTAACAACTGGCCCTCCGACAAGAGCGTAGTGACCTCTAAAGAGATTGTGATTTTCCCAAGACCCAATATGGAGGGCATCGAGCGGTCGAGTGTGCCCGAGTAGGTCAACAGATGGAGCCCCCGACGAGAGCGCAGAGCATTTGACTCCGCCATCGACAGAGAATTGGAGGGCCCTAGATCAATGCAGAGAGCCCACGAGCATATCGTGCGTGTGTCATTAGGTTGGTCGATAACAAGGCGGAGGGCCCTTGAAAAGCTAACAATATCCGGGCAGGTCGACATATGGGGCCCCGGCTATAGCGTGCAGAGCTTTTCGGGCAAATGGGAAGAATCGGTGGAAGGCCACTCGTCGACAGAGTGCCCCGGCATGCCAGCAGAAAGGGCCCGACCACAGCACGGGGCCCTCCGAATAAATGCAAAGAAATCAGGGGCAACGTGGAAGGTTTCTTAGCGATCAGGTCGATCTTGCAAGTGGACATATAGGGGTTTCAGGAAGAGCGTAGGGCTTCTGAACTGCGTAATATATCTTAAGATTTTTGTTTCGATAAAGGCATGTTGCCGAAATATCAACCAACTATATCTCCATTCTCCTTGTTTTTCCGAGAAATAAGGCTAATACTACTGTCCTATATATGTGAGTAATGTTCCCAGCTAATGCACCGCACCTTATGATTTTTTAATCATCACTCTTCCAATAAGTGAAGAACTATTTTTTGGCTGCTCGTGTTTGTTTTTGTCTGTCCTTCACTTTCGCATGCAAGTGTTCTTGGTCGCCTGAAAGCCCAAAGGCGTCCAACTGTGTTTTGTGTAAAAACTGCATCTGTTCGGCAGGCTATGGGACCCCTTCAGAGCCCCTGGGCTACTCCGAGGGCCAAGAGGGGTCATGGCCACGCGCTCCCCCCCCCCTTCCCGTTAGATCCGCCCCTGCGCACAGCACGCCGACGGCCGCACGGGTCAGGATGACCAGGTTTAGTGCGTTTCTAGCATACCTTTCTCCGTCAGCCAGAATCCCATCACGGCCGCACAGATCAGATTGAATCTGTTCTGGCCACATGTCCAGCAGCATTTTGTCGACGGTCGAAGAAAAGCAACTCGTCAATCCAGGAGCTCGCGCCCACCACTGTGCAAGCTGCTGAGAGGCCGTCCGTTGGGAGCCGAGCATAACATCGCACACACCCTGGGGCTCGAATCCGGCACTGAAACGCGTGCCCAACACGCTCCCACCAGACCAGGTCACAGCAGACAATCCTTTCTTGGGTCGCGCTAGGTGACGTTAGTCAGCATGAATCTCTCGTCTGAGACGCTGTCTTGGGATGCGCTAAGTGATGATTTATGTGTATATCTGTCTGAGGTGCTGTGGCCCGAACATTTACGTTTTTGTCCAAATTCACAATCCGTCACTCCACCAATCCACAGGTTTTGCTGGCCGGCCACTGATCAATTCACTCTCAAATGGCATTTCCACCGCCCCATCGTGGAACCAAGAATGCCTGCTGCTCAAGAGCAAAAACGAGAAATGCTGATATTTCCTCGTCATAAACAAACTGTTGTATGGCTGGTTTTGTCGATAAGATACGTTGCAAACTTTATTTCACTTAGAGCCTTTTTTCGCTTTTTTGTGGCGTTGATTTGAAGCACTTCACTAATCCATCATATTGCATTGCCCCAACAAAACAACAGATCCGACATCTTGTGCAAACCTCGTTTTCAAGGCCTCTTGGTAGTTTCAAGCTTTTCTCATGCAATTACACGATACACCAGCGTTGCGAATGCTCCTGCTGATCGCATATGGAGCTAACGGAAATAGTGGGTTGCGAAAACGATGCCGGCTGTTATCATGCCAGGTGGCAAAAAAAAACTATTTAATGCCAGACGGAATTGGGGATCACAGGACCAGGCAATTCAGAATCATGCGGAGACTAGTGCAACGAGAGTTGCGCACTTAAGAATGAGCACTAGGAGTCAAAAGCAGTGGCCCTTGACAGCGTTTCATGTTTTTGAAGGGTCGCAGATAAGTGGAAACCCATGTGGCCCCCTGGCTACAGCAGTGGTCACGCTTCCCTGAGGGGCGTCGACAGCATGGCCCGAGTCGCGATGGGGAGAACTCGCAGTTCCGCGCTGGCAAGAAAGAAGAGCACCGAGAATAATCGAACCTTTTGTCGCTGGTTTCCCAGACGCGCAACTTAGCTTAGCTTAATGCTCTTGGATATTGCTGGTTTGTGTTACTGAGGAACCACGTCCTCTGACATCTGGCGGTAACCATCAGGGTCAGCTTTCGTGTGGATCCTTGCTGGACCTCGTGCGGAGTGTTGGTTCTGCCACGCAGTATGGTAGGGTGAAATGCAGCCAAAGACGCTGAGCCACAGCAGCCCATAGCATGTGAATGAATGACTTGATGAACAGCGCGGCTGGAATGTTGCGGCTCAGATGCTTCCGATGGAGCACTCCACAGTGCACCCATAGGCTGACCTCACCCTACTGGGGCTGAGAATGCAGTGTACTGACCAGATGCACCAGAGCAGCAGCGTGGTCCACCAAAGTTTCGGCGACAGCAGCTCCCACACATGGCCGCGCCGCTCTGATGACGTGTCGTCAATAGTCAGCTGGCCGCGCGGCGCGGGCTGTCCGTTGGCGGCGGCCATCTTGTCAATGGCGGCTCGCGCTAGGTCAGGGCGCCCGCAGGCCCCGTGGAATCGGACGCTTTCCGGGATCAGCTGTGTCAGAAGCGAGTTGTTCATCCAATGCGACACTCCTCATCCAGTTACAGTGCATGACGTCGGATTGGTTTGGTGAGAGCGAATGCCATCGAGTCCTCGTGACGGCAGATATGTTAACGGTTGAGGATATAAATGCAGAGACGCAAACAGATGTACAGCTACCCAACAAGATTCAACCATGCATATTCAAAACAAAGAGTGAACAGGTGCGCTACACCGGAAGTGGACGAACCGGGGAGAACAGGACGAACATCAGAAGCGGGACGCTGGAGAGGGCCAACAGCCAGCGCCAGCCGAGCTCCGGCATCAGAAGCAGCGCCAGCACCACCTCCAGTGCGCTGCCCAGCGCCCAGAACATCTGCCGGCGACGAGTGGCGGCGCCGTTAGCGCCGAAATGTCGTGCGTTAGCACAGGCACCACAAGCACGCAGGTACCACGAACACATCGCCATCACGAACACATAGACACCACGAACACACAGGTGCCACGGACGCACCGGCACCACGAACACATAGGTGCCACAAACACATTGTCACCTTGAATATTCCGCACCCCGATCACACCCGCACCACGGACACATCGGAGCCACAAATACACTGGCACTTGAACATAATGGCACCGCGAACACATCAACACCATGAAGACATTCACATCACGAACACATCGACATCACGAACCCATTGGCAACATAAAAACAACGGCACCACGCATACATCGACATCACAAACTCATAGGCACCATAAGAACAACGGCACCATGAATACATCAGCACCACACTGACACCACGGCGTGTCCCAACATCCAACGGAAACTCCCGCGGGCCGAGTGTCCGGGACATGGCTGGTCGGGTCGGGTCACCCGCTACCGCCCAGCCTGCCGCAGCCGGCGTCTCAACAGGTCATTAGCAGCGCTTGGACGCTTGTACATGAGCCATTCATGTTAACCTTTTCATTTCAGCAACTTCATGTGTGTCGAACGAAGGTCAGGAAAGAGGTCGGGTGTTTTTGATGTCTATCTTATGTCGCATGCACTCACATTAAGAAATAAGATGCAGCTTCCTCTTTGCTTTGTTGGAAGAAATTCAGAGTAGAGCGTTACGCTGAAAAAAGAGGACATTTATTAATACCCAACCAACCGAGAACAAACTTTACGCTTATGAAATTATCTGAAATGAGAAAGCATCCTGCTAAACGAGACTATTTCACACATATAAAAGGTTCACATGCAAACAACTTAAGGTGACATGTCTATGATGAGACAATGACAAACAGTGTGGATATAGCAAATCAATTAATCAAGGTCATCAAATCATCAAATCAATACTTAGCAAAACATCATAGGATTTAAAGTCAAGGATAATGCAGCGCTTGCCATTCAGTTATGCGTACTTCTGATCAACTCAGAACAACTAGCACCATATGATATTGCTATGACGTCAACATGGAACAATTATCGAGTGACCACGGTCTAATCTAAGGAATTTTCCGCGCCTTAGTTTGTCTTGACTTGCAAAAAGCATTACAGTATCCTCGCATTTTTGTCACAAAGGTTATTCAACAGTCCACAGGTGTCAGAAAACCTAAGTCGACAAGAAACATTTGCCCCTATTACTTGGAGCTGTTAGCATTTGCCAAAACGAGAGCGTGGCTACTCGAGGGTGCACGCCACAGTTCTAGGTGCGACAAGCGCTTAATTATGATAAACATAAACTGTTAGACAGCTAAAATAACAGACAGACAAGTGACTCGCCTGTATCGCTGTGCGAAGGGACGCCGCGGAGCCAGTGACGCTGGCACCCGTAACATAACATTAACCTGTGCCTTAATAACATGAAGTGGATCTCAGGCCACACTTGAAGGCTGAACATCACGCGTCTCTCAGACACATTGCGCATGTCGCGCTGCTCTACGCACTCAGGACCTCGAAAAGCTATCATTTGGTTGTGTTTCCCGCCGGCTCCGCTGTGTTTCCCGCCGGCTCCGCTGTGATTCCCGCCGGCTCCGCTGTGATTCCCGCCGGCTCCGTTGGTATCGGTATAGCCAACTATCCAACCACGTAAAATGAAATCGCATCCCGCATCAATCGCGTCACGGATCGGCTGGCTGCCCGGATTAAATTTGCGGAGCTCGTAATGCTTGCCTCGCTTTATATTCACAACCGCCTGGACACGTTGACACACCACATTCACCGTCGCCCAAGCCCTGCGGCATGTTTCAATGGTGTCTATTGCTTACGCAGCCTGCTTATTCCACTTATACAAAACAATCCCCAGTTATTGTCAAGGCAACCCCCCCACCCCGCCCCACACCTGATGTCCTGTGCACGCTGTGATTGACGACGGTATCGGACGGACCTGCATTTATGCCGCGGATGGTCACCAAGTTCGACCTAGCGCATGTATAACTTTCACGGCAGTCCATGCAGTCGTCAGCGAAGTGTACCCAGCTGAAGTGATGCGGACTTAAACCAGCCAGCCAGCCAGCCAGATGGTCATCAATTAGACAATTGTACAGATAGATACATGATTAAAAATTAGGGATTTAAACAATCGATTCCCGCTTGTTGCACTGCGCGAAGAGATGGCGCTGCTGACGTCGACAATGCCGTCATAAACGACGAAATGTTGATTTGATGTCTCACAATAGAAAAAGGATCTCAGTTGCCATTTGTCAGCTGTTTAGCATCCTTGGATCTATCGAACACCTCGATCGCGCAACACTTCTACGCACTCAAGACATGAAGCTGGTATTAGTGAGTTGTGGTTTGCGCTTGCTTTACTGCGCAAGGATGCGACGCCTTTGACAATACCGTCTCCATACACTTTTTTATTGGGTCCAAAATATTTCATTGATTTGATTCTTGGGATCAGCACCCATGCCAGGCAGTTCTTGTGTCGTGAGCCCGGATTCCGCCATCCGGTTGTGAAATCCGGGGCCAATGGCAGAATTTTGCGGCGAAAGCCTAGCGTGCCTCAATGCTCGGCACGTCCGACATGCCCTCTGACATTACCTGACCTTTAATGCGGTCGCTGACACCGGCCGCATGCCATCCCAGACAGCAGTAAACAGCGAGCGCCTAAAGCGACCCGTCCCCCCCCCCCTCCCGTCCCCTCCATGGCGGGTGAATCATCAGATGTTTTGCTGAGCGCATCTATGACGCGCAGTACTATCTCTGTTGATTGCTTGTCCTGACAGAAGAACGTAATGTTGTCAGTATGCAACCATGATTTAATTTCTACATTTTTCACTATGATGCCGGAAATACTTCCATTATTTTTCCTACTTATTGCGAAAACCCATATTCCCAAATCAAATATAATTTCCCCCAAGTGGAGAGACCTGGAACCTGTCGCGACAGCACGTACATCGTTTTGATGTAAACGCGCTATTCATTATGGCCAGAAAAGCGTCACCGTGTAGGATTGTAACCCATGTTATTCAATTGCCCCCTAAATTATACTATTCAAGAGCAGATATAAAAAGCATACTCCAGCGAATCGAACACGGCCCGACAGTCACATACAATCATTAATCCTCCAATCTGATCCATATCGCAAAACTAAACGACATCTGCCGTCAACTTATGCTCTCACCTAGAACACGGTCCTTTATAAATCCAGTTTGTTCTGGAGATATAGATTTGTGAACGATTTAACCAATACGAGCAGCCATAAACTTTGCAACAACTATATGCATCATATCTAGCAAACATACAGGCATTTTGTTTTGTTATCGGGTCTGGTCTACCTTATTAGGAATCAGAGTATTGATGCCCCGCCGCTGGGCTATGAAAAAACCGTCGACGAAAGCTTCATTAACGTATGTGGCTATGGTGCTCTTGATATTATTGATGCATCTGGCAATGGTGCTCTCGATATCATCCCAGAAGTACGCAAATACTCCGTTGCAAATCCCGTGATGCTTAGAGCCTTGTTTTTCCTCATCCAGCTCAACGCTAACTTGCATTCTTTGCCGCTAATGGGACCTTCATATTACTTGCGTTCCTGTTCGGAGGGGATTTGGTCACTCCCAAGAATGCTGTCCATTATTCCGCTATCAGTACCTTCTATGCCCTGATAGGATGTTATCACCTCCTCGCAGTGTTCCATACAGTGTCTTAGAAGCTTATGTCATTGTAGTAAGTCAATGTAGCTTATTTTCTCATGACACTTGGCCCGCATTATTAATTTCAGTACTTGTCCTTTGAGCATGCATTTGCTTACCACGGCTCAGAAAACAGCTGGTCATTTTTGCACCCTCCTCCACTCACTTGGTCCCAGAGGCTGTTATTGCCATTTTTTGATGTCTTGTTTGTTTTATTCCATCCACTTTCTGGCCACATGTTCTGCACGATATTTGTTGTTCGTTGTCAGTACCATTGACGTCGTTTTCTAATTCCGTGAACCGATTTACTACTTTATTTCCATGCTTCTTTAGGCCATATGCTATCGTTTTGCTACGCCGAACACATATCGCCCGTATGCTGCTGAACAACGTTTTGTCTCAGTCATTTCTTGCACGCATTATTTCTTCACCTGCTAAATATACAAACTCTGTATCTGACAAAAGTTAAGTGCGAAATCTTAACAACCCGGGGTCCCATCGGTGCGTGGCAGACATGGCAGTGGTCACAATAAAACTGTGATTCTTTTAAGCCTGCCTCAATGCTGGCTTGTACGTCAAAGTTAAAGCATAGTACCTCGCTTAAAACGCATAGTCTATACGCGACTGCTATGGTGGTTCCAATCGCTGGCACATTAACTTAAAACTTTCCGATTTCCGTATGGTTCGGTCCTAAGTGAATACTTAGGACCGAAACACGGTCCTGCACAGGACCGTGTTTAATTGAACAAGGTGCACGAGCACATTCCGGACCCTGGCCAACAATACAACTTTTCATTCTTGGATATTAACAACTGGTGCACACACACACACACACACACACACACACACACACACACACCACACACACACACACACACACACACACCACACACACACACACACACACACACACACACACACACACACACACACACACACACACACACACACACACACACACACACACACACACACACACACACACACACACACACACACACACACACACACACCACACACACACACACACACACACACACACACACACACACACACACACACACACACCCACACACACACACACACACACACACACACCTAAAATGGCAAAATGATCTCTGTCAATATTAAGTCGTACGCCAGCCATTTCTCTCTCTCCGTCACTACGCTGACATTGAACCGACGCACCGAATGGTCTAGGAAGCAAGACTGCCACTCCGACTGATATGCTGTTCCATAACTGAATGTAACTGGTAATAACATGGTCTACAGTGATGCACTGGCTCAGTTTTCACTCAATGCGCTTCTTGGTACACAGCTTTCACCGCTCCCTGCGCCAATGACAAACGTTCAGAGATACTGGCATTATTCATGCCATCAAAGGTGCGCCCTTTACGCGGACATGCCCACAATGTACAGCTTAAAATGGCTCAAAGTGGTACCTTTTACCTGTAGCAGCTGACGATGGTACTTAACAGATTCTGCTGTCTTGACGATGGCAGTCACGAAAATTGCACTAATCACGAGCAAGCCCTGCACTTCAGGGCTAACAAGAAAGAAGAAAGTGAAGCGCTGTCACGAAACTTTTCACCACAATTGAGACTCGAAAATAATTGAAATCAGTCTCCTCATTGCTCTTATCAGACGTAACTGGTAAAAAGGTTTTACCACGGCATGCTGTTTAATATGTCCCAAAGGTGGGACGCTCTCTTTAAAGGGAGTGCCCACATTTGTATGGGGTTTTGACTGAAACATCCACCTTGAATATCATTTAGTGTAGTTCTCAGCCCCACCCTTTTTAAGCCCAAACCCCTTTAGTTTCTGAGCTACACGCCCATGAAGATATGCAGAATATTACGCTGAGACTATTTCGAGGCTACCAAGGCATCCGTGACACCAAAATAACGTCATTCAAATCTCGCCATTCAATTGTCCATGCGGAGATCAAGGCCACACAAAAACACGGCTGTCGAGTCGTTCATACCTGGCGTTCGTGAACACGATTTACAGACATAACGGCCGACACTTGGTCCTGAGGGTATAACGATGTAATCGAATAATGACGCATTGAGGAGCATCTCTACTATACAGCGAGGTTGTTTATCATGAACAGCGTTTTCCACTTGGAACTATACCAATAAATATAGGTGAGCTTATTGCATATCTGATGGTTGCTTCAATACATTTCAGTATGTAATATTCGTTTCAAGCAACTTACACCAACTCAGAAGATATTTCACGCAGTAAATAATCTCACCTTGACATCGATTTCTATCTCCCAATCCTCGCATCAACCACAAACTGTTTTAGTGCATGATATTAACAACTACAGGTCATGAAGTTGTGCGCAGCCAACACAAGATAACAGAAAAAAACAAACTCCTACACTCGATGCACTGCTGCTTTCAGTGAAAAGCATTTAAGTCTGGTGTGATACTGAGAACATCTCAAACGAGATCAACGGGTGCGCTGCTAAGCAGCCTACGTTGCGAAAACCTTGATCCTACCTTCCCAAGCCGCTCTCTGCATGTCGACTAAGAGAGGGGTCCCAACCCCTCAGCAAGGAAGCTCCCAGCACCCCCCCCCCCCCCGCGGAAACAGAATCTTACCACTGGGGAGGAGAAAGAAAAGGCACTTCAAACTTCCACCAAGCATGCGTTAAACCTTTTGGCATAAGTAAAACTTATCAAGTTTGCAAGGGCAGATGGAGGGGAAAGAGGAAAAGGGCTTTTGGGCAACAGGCTGATTTCCTTCTTTGTAGATATGGTACTGTGCTATGTCAGTTGCCATATCAGGCTAATGTACAGTCATATCTAATGTCAGTTGAAGCAGCCTCTCGAGTAAATGAAGAAAAAAAATGTTGGGCGCGGCAAGGTTTATCAAAAAGGTGTAGTTTCTTATTCAGTTGGGGCCTACAACCGTCCCTCTCCCTCCAAAGAACTAACTGGAATATTTCGTGCAGTCAGTTTCGTCATTTTTTATTGTTCAGACCCTAAAGATTATGTTTCCGAAACTAAGCCCCAAACTTGTCGGATTTGTTCTGCGAGGATAACAAACACCTGACAATTCATAGTTATCCGACGTTTCAGGTTATGTTACGACTGAGGAAGACGATAAAACTACTTTTTCGAGATGATTCGAGGCTTTTACGAGAAGCGGGTCGTCGTCGAACTACTAATTCCACAGCTTCCCTCTCAGCTGATGTCCCAATCACATGCTATCTCGTAACTGACAGGTAAGAGGACTCCAATAAGACAACAGATGCAGCGGTTTAATTCCAAATGGGTTTCATAAGAAACAACCATCCGTGGTTTTGTCACTGAGGGTGTCATATGAGAGTTCAAGTTGAAGGTGAAAACTTTAGATTTGAGCATAGGCGTAGGAACGTTTCAAAAAGTGGGGGAACAGACTCAGGGCGTATTTCAGTACCTTTTCTGGAAAGCAAGCCCGGTGACCGGGGAGGGGGCGGGGGAAGGGTACAGTTGGAGGCTGTTATCACTCTTTATTCAAATGTAATGGGTGCTATTCTAAATACGTATCTAAAGCTGTTTCTCACTGGTGCACACTCTTGCCTATTCGACTCATCGTGTCATTCGGCAAAAAGCCATCCAGCTTCCCAAGAAATTCGTCCATTTTAAAATTGCCTTTCCTGGGAGGCGGAATTCCACGGGTAGGCATTTTGGGTTATTGAGGAAGCATCTGCCTCCGCAGAGTAGATGCCAAGATACGGCTTAGACATAGGCTGGTGAGAACTTTGAAAGTAGTTTGATGGACTCGTAGCTGCAACAGGTTTTTATGTGCTTTCACTTCGCTGGCTTCTTTCCAAGAGATAAGACTTGTCGCAGCATTTTAGGCGGAAACTAATGAAAGCTTGAAACTGCCAAACACAATGTGATAAAAACCATAAGACTGGATATTTTTCTTTGAAAACCAACCCACAGAATGAAGGCTCTTCTGTCATATGTTCCTTATCTGAGCCCTGCTATCGTCCGCCATCGGCGGCCACTGTCCTGGCCCGGATGTCTTCCGAATAGCTGACCGCGAACTGACCGTAGGGCTGCTTTGTTGCACATTTCTGGTTCATCATTACTACTGATTGGTGTGTAAAACATATGTTGGACACCTGCATCAGTACCTTTTTCCGAATTATCTTCCCTTACACCTCACCACCCCAGAAAAATGCCGCCGGGAAGCTGCCTACTTTAGGTACGATTTGGCCCAACGGGCATTTAACTGCCCGTCATTCAACGTAGATGACTTGATCTGCTTTTGTGTGCAGGCAGGGGATAGCCAGAGCCTTGCTAAGAGGAAGACAGGGTTGATAAAAGCTTCCTTTATGATGAAACTCCGCAAAAAGCATCCCTGGATATAGTTTATTTATTAACAATGGATACTGTTTTCTTCATTTCATTGTCATTTTTACGTTGTAACCGGAACAGAAACCGGAAGCCACCATGAAATCAATTCCGTTTACATCTTTAACACGCGCCCGGGTGGCCGTCTGGATACCGTGCGCTCGGGAGGGGTCAATTTGACCCCCCTGAGATCTCAGGAACTAACGGAGCTAGAGGCACCAAATCCATAGGGTGTGTTGACCTGTACCTAAACTCACTCAGGTCAAAGTGTGAGGTTTCCAGGTTATGACTTTCGGGTTAAATAAGGTCAAACAAGGTCAAATTCCAGGTTTGCCTCTTAAGTGCTCCCAGAACCTAGACAACCATTTCTAAGTAAAAGGTTACATTTTCAGTTAAGGCCAGTGACCTTGTTTGACATTTTTAATGTCATGGTAACCAAAATCATGCAAGAATTTTCTGAGTTCTGTATTTGAATAAGCGAGAAAGATTGCTTTAGGCAGTATGTTTCTAAAAACAAAATGTTTACCAAGGTCATTTTAGGTCAATGACCTATTCTGACCCCTAAGAGGTTCATGGAAGATGTATAGCGAGGCTACTGCTATCAATAAATTAGAAATGAGCACTAGAAACTATTGCATACAGCAAGCCCTAGGGTAATAAAACAAGTTGGTTTTGACCTTGGTCTGACCTTTATACCTGGCCTTAGGTCAACGTAATTTGCTCATTCAATATTTGTGTTCCCTAAGAAAGCATCTCAGAGATGTATGGCTTCGTCTAACACTCAATTGTTGCATCAGATTGAACGATTCCCTACAAGTTGACTTCGCTGAAACCATGGCCCAACTTTAACCTGCCATAGGTCAGCGACCTTACAAAGTACATCCAAGTTGTCTTATTCCAAACGATCTGCTATTCAATTGTCTACAGCTATGCAAGACATGGCGCTGCTGCGCCGCGCTGCTCTGAAACCATTCTAGGAAGCCTTCGGGGAGCGAGTCAATTTACCCCCACCCCCACCCGAGCGCGTGTTACGGTCAATAAACTGCAGAAATCACGCGGTTAACGACCGCTTGGAATAAATCGCCGGTGTCCTTGATTTGCAATCGTTTAGTGAACTCTTTCTAAACCGATAGAATTTAGAAGGCTTTTCATGATGTTTTATATGCGTTCTACAGACCATTGAGGACATCGCAAAGGTAGATTGTAGATCGATACGTTTGATCGAAATTTAAAGGCGAAATTTTTGATTGCAGATCGAGTGGTCAACAATGTGTATTAACATCTCCATGCCATGTTTGTCTGGAAATATTTGATATTCAGTCAGGATCGATTAGTGATGCAATTTATATAACGTGGTTTTTAATTAACATGCGCGCTCGCAAATCTTAGTAACAAAAACCTCGACACCAGGCGTTGCAGTCTCCATAGTCCGCGGAGCGGTAGCTCAGTGGTTAACTTTTCGTCATGGTCCACGAGTGGGCAAAAATGACAACGGACCGAAACCGAAACCGACAAATAACCGACCGAAAAAGAGTATCAGATAACCGACTCAGCATGTTTCGCCGCATATTTAAGGGACAGTGCTGACTCGCCATCTCATTAGTCGCTTTGTGGTAGGCAGTCGCTCTAAGTCCGTAGCTTAGCTCCTCAGCAACCAAAGGAGGGGCAGGCCTAACCAGCGTCCGCCTGACGCGGGTGCTGCAAGTCTCTCTCCCAGCCAGCGAAAAGTAGAGCACGGAAAAGAAGTAAACCACTACGTTCTCACGCTTGCGCCAGGGCTCCAATAAAGAAGCCCATAGTACTTCTGAGAAGCAGCAGCCAGGTGTACGTCGGCGAAAACGCAGACAGCAGGCCGAAGTAGAATAGAAACCATCCAGACGTCACCAGGGCCTGAAAATACATGATGCCAGTGAGAGGCTGACACAGTTCCTGGGCACCGCATGATTGCAGTAACAGGTCTGCGCTGCGCGGTAATATGCACTCGTGTCCCTCATGAGAACGTTATTTTAACGCCCTTCGAGCCTTTAAAACCTCGTACATTCTTATGACTGCTGCATGTCTGCCAGCCCTATGTCCCACGGTCACAATCCGAAGAGCGGCAGAGATCTTGGCGTTGAAAATGCCGTATCAAAGGTCCAAAGTTGCATTACCCACGCTTGTATCACCGATGACAGCGAAACATTTTGCGGGAGGAGAAGCATCAACAAAACCATACCGTAGATGCCCACCTTTTTCCGGCCGTACTTATCGCTGAACCAGCCCCAGAACATGGCTCCGAACATCATGCCGAGGAAGACGCCGGTCGTGAGGAAGGCCTGCTTCCAGCTGGAGAGCTGCCATGCGCAATGGAGGGCCGGTGAGAGGACCGAAAGGAGCATCACCTCCATACTCTCGCCCACCCAGCTGAAGCCCATCATAAGTGACAGGCGAACCTGGAACCAGCCGAAGCCGATGCTGCTCACTGCCTCGTCCACGGTGAACTTTTCTGAGGGGGAGAGCAGGAGGAGTCGCGCGTCACCGACATGGTCCCGGCCTTGTGATGAAACAAGGGTTCGCGTCTGCACGAGATTATAAACCACGCGTGAGTGGCGTGGCCCTGATCTTAAACGCGTATGATGAACGAGTCTGAAAGAGGTGAAACTGTCACTTGTTGATTGCGTGTGGTTTTGGTCCGAATCAAATGAGTTCGAAAAAGATTCAGGATCAGGCGAAACTGCTGTGGTCCCCGTTCGCAGCGGACGCGTGAACAGACGGGGACCGGTTCAATGCTTCACACTCGGGGGTGGGGTGGGGGGGGGGGGGCAAATCAGCCCCCTCCCCTGAGGTCTTAAAAACCGAGACAGATAGACACCAATTTTACAGGGTGAACTAACCTATATCTGAACTCACTTGTGTTGCAATTTGAGGCCGATAGGTCATGTCTTTCGTGTCAAATGATGTCAAGCAAATCCAGGCTCCAGATTGATGTCCAAAATATTATCTCTCAACAAAGTGTTCACGTAATCGCCTTGGACCTCGAAACCTATTTAAGCAAGAGACAATTGGTGGTCATTTAGGGCAAGGGGCCTTCTTTAAACTTGTCTAGGGTCATGGTGATAAAAAAGTATGAGATAATTTTTAGTTTTGAAGTTCAGTAACGGTCGAAGCTTACGTTAGGCGGTACACTGTTAAAAAAAAAAATTCGGTCGGAAGAATTTTAGGTCCGTGAATTTCTTTGAATGCTAACAAGGTCATCAAAGATGTCTATTACGGTCCTTGTTATCAAGAAATTCAAAATGAGCATCAAAAGCGTCCGCTTGAAGCAGGCTTTTCGGAAAAACAGGCTGCTTTTGACCTCGGTCTGACCTTTGTACCAGGTCCGATGCCAAAGAAATTTGTTTTAATTCCAAATTCAATTGTATAATTGCCTAAGAAACTAAGTATGGCTTCACTTATCACTTCGCTGTCGCCAGCGGAACTTTCTAGCCAGAGATTCCCCAGAAATTGCCTTCGCTGACAGCCACGACTGGACTTTGACCTGGTATAGGTCAGGGACCTGACAAGGTTCATCTCATTATTTTTATACCAAAAAATCCGCTATGGAATTTCCTGCCGCAATGCAAGGTTTGACGCGGCTTTGCCACACCTTTCAGAAATCATTCTAAAATATCCCTCGGGCGGGGGTCGGACTGACCCCCGTGCGTGCGTGTTAACGGGATTGCAGCAGGAATTAGGGGTCCACTCACGACCACTGCCTGTCAACTTTATAACGCACTGCAACCTATTGCGTTACCCAATGATTCTACTACGTTGCAGTTCCTGAAGCTGCGACAGGCATGCACCCCCGTTGATCAGAATCAAGGCATGGCAGCTTAGGTCATACCGTCTAGTTGTCACGCAGAGTTAGGATCAAAATTCACTGAGTTTGATTCACTGAGATAGAATATTCCCCAGCTAGTTGGGATAAGATGAGGCGTCTGATTGTGACAGGATGTCGTCACACATGTGACTGTGGCATAGGCAGGGGTCCTGTGGTTAACCTGGGAGTCAGAATCAAGGCTCGGCACTGTGCGCAAATCGATTACGCGGCACGACCGCCTAAGGCTGCAGCATACCAAAAACGCATAAAAGGCCTGATCCGGGTCACGGTCCTCAGCGGCAGGTGAGGTGTCGCGCACCCAACAGCCAGGCAGTTGGGAAAGGAGGCGATATCGGGGTTGAACGGCGGGCGCAATGAACCACCCACGTGGAGGCGGCATGGTTTGAACGGACGGAGTGGATCAACGCTTACACCAATCACCAAACAGATCAGCGATTACACCGATGGCCAAAATACATCAGCCCTTACATCAACGGCCAAAATGAATTAGCGCTTAGACCGGTGGCTACTGACCTGCGCGGTCACGTTCGTAACTGGCGCCGATGGGCGGGCTGGGTTCAGCCTCGTTATGCTCCAGCACCGACATGTCTTGATAGCCGGGCGGCCGGGCCGCTGCCCGCAGCACCATGACCACGTCCTGCAGGCCTGATCTGACCTGACCTGCGGTCCAGGGGCGACACGGCCACCGCACCGCACGGCGCGCACCTCCCGGGCGACTGACCGCACTCCAGACGCTGAATCAGGGCGCACACGTTCGGCGCGAGCGGACCAACACTCAACACCGAGTGCGGCTGCTGGCTCGTGTTCTCATGCGTTCGCGGCGCCGGTGGCCCGAATCGTAGGCGAGCAGTGCATGCGCCGGGCGGCTGGCGGAGCGCACCGACAAAGTCGGCCCACCTGAATTGCCGGCCATTTGTCGATCGATACTCCGTGACACAGCTGTGAATGCTGACATAGCTTGGTGGGACGTCACGGTGAGTAGACAAGTGTCTGTCGATGTAAGGTCGCACCGACCCGATCCAGGCTGCAGGTGAACTATTCCGAGGAGTGGAGGTGGGGCGGGGGGGGGGAGGGGGAGGGGGATGGGGAGATGTGTAAGGCGTGGTGCGGCGACCAATGTTGAGCTACTAATGCTCCGTATGTTTTAAAACTTATCAGGCTGCTTCCAAATGCGTTTCTTAGCTGTCATTGGAGTGATACGAATCTTACATTGCAGCGAAGGGTTAGGAGATTTCCATCGATACGCTGATTTGCGTCACCTCGAATGCGCGCAGTTCTACTGATGGATGATGTGGTTGGCATACGCTTTCCTTCCGCATTATTGACGCGTTTTTCGATCCCGCCTTACTTCTCTTTTCCTAATGAGCAGCATGTTCGTAACATGGTGGAACAGTCCTCTTCCTACTTTTTTTCTGTTTAGGATTCGTACGGCCGATGCAAGTACGTGATCCCACGCTGCAAAAAGCTGACTTCATTTGTTCGGTTCGTCTGTTTTCAGGGTTGCTTGTGTGTCGCTTGCAAGCAATCCCCGGCTACTTCTGCAGGCGTCGGTCAAAACTAGATCACCACCACGTTTTAATGTTGGAGACATTTGTCTGGTAAGTGGTGCGTATTTACCAGAACAATAACTGACGATTTGAAAATATTTCGCTAAGCCCGCAGCGCTCATTCGCCACTAACGTTGGCAGCCTATTATCTCAATGAGTGCCGACTCCATGCAACCCTGCTCCGATCTTCGGTGGCCCTGTTCAGGCTTCACTCCGACTCCACCGTGACTCTGTCAGGACTCAGTCCGACCAGCCATGAATCTGGCAGAACTTGGCGCTGGCGCTTCGATGCTTCTGCTTAAACTGTGCGGTCGGTGCTTCTGCTCAAACTCTGCTGCTGCGTTCATCAATAACTTTTTCCACGGTGAGTAAATTGTAAAATAAAAAAAAAACGTTAGCGGTAAATGCCTTTACTTGACGACGGGCACTTGAAACCCGATCAGAGCATACAAGCTGCCATAAAACATGTTTTGCACGATTTATTGCTATTGCAGTTTGTGTATGATGTGGCAATTCTGTCCAGTATGTCCTTTCAAAGCTCCATGAAACAGACGTGATTTGTAATAGACGTTTGCATTTCATCTTAAAAAGTGTATGGTCACAAAACAGCTAATTTCAAACAAAACGACAGCAATGGCGCAAATGCATGCGCAGGTCACTCAACTACGTAAGCACACGCTGACCCACATACGCCTGCAATCACCCCCTAGACATGCAGACGTATTCATGCACAAGCCACGCGAGGCAGAATATATGTATATATATATATATATATATATATATATATATATATATACACATATATATACATATATATATATATGTGTATATATATATATATACATATATATGCACATTTACATTTGTGAACTTAGGAAGCAGCTTATTTTGTCTAAATATTTTGTGTCAAAGATCTTAGCGGACTCAGTATTGATGATTTTTGTTTCCCTAATAAATCTGATGACAGCCTTCGCTCCTTCTCGATGTTTGTTTAAAATTGCACCAAAGCTCTTGACACAAAGATGTAGAGTGTCATATTGCGGGGTCTGGTGTGAGTCATATTCTCAGCGTTTCATCCTTCACTGGACATTTTCTAGTGACGATTTTAGACAAGGTCGATGTAGTTGCGTACTTACGTAAGTTGTTCAGTGCATTTGCGAGGAACATTATTCACGTAGATAAGGCAGAAGTAATAGCCTTATCCTCAAAGAAAAACACACACGTACGCCTGCCATCACCCAAAAATGCATGTCTTACCTACCTTTACCTAAAGAAATTTCTTATCTATGTAAATATTTATTACCAAGGCTCTAGAAATGACAATGCAATCTAACCATGTTTCAAGGTGAGTGTCTGGTTCTTCCTGGTGCCTTCGACTTTACGCTGCACCTTGGTTATTACTGGATCCCCATATTTCCAGGCTGGCTCTGAGTTCTTGCGGGGTCTCTGACCATCTTATTGGCTAAACACTTATGCTTAATGGATCTAACGGCACAATGCAAGCTTGCTCTTGGTTCTTCCTGGATCCTTCTGTGTACTTCAGGCGGTGTCTTGAATTCTTGTTTTATCTGTTGAATCGCATCAACAACAGTGTGATCAGCGAGTAGACAGCAATACGCCCAGAGGGTTGGCGGGCAGGCTGGTCGGAAGCTCTGTCGATGGTCGCTCTTGCTGGCGCCGATACCGAGAGGACACCACTCCGGGATCGAAGAGCAGCTCTGCAGGCCGTCGGCGGTGGGCAGTGACAGGAGCGGGGCCGCGTCTCAGGGCTAGGATTTCTCGCCGCGACGGGTGAGCCGGACGGTTACGTCGTCCGACGCCGTGACCAGCGCCAGGAACGTGAAGCCGGGCGGACAACCGTCTGTGACGTACGGACACCCGTAGCTCGGCCGTAGCCGCGGACAGGCGCGGCGGCTCCGGGATTGTAGCGCCGTTGACGGGTGGGACGACGCTCACCTGCGGGCGCAAGGCCAGGCAGGTCCGGAGCCAGCAGCATGTCAGCCCGTGTCATACGGGCCGTTACCCGCGCCCGTTGAACAGCTCCGTCGACTTATGATATTCAGTATATTGAAAATAATGTCATACTGCCAAGATAGCTTGAGTGGTATTCAGTCGTTTTTCATATTCTACCACATCCTATGGCATCCATCACCCAACCAAAGTGATGTTTGCCACCAGGCAGTTCACAGATCACTGACAGTAATAATTCCTATAGTAATCCCTTAAATAACAACCAAGAAACATTATCTCATTGTTAAACTCATATCCGAGCCAACAATTATAGGCATATGGTGGCAGATTCCAGATTCTTACGTCCGCTGCGGTTTTAAATCCCTAGCCTTACCTTAATTATTTTGACTAGCACGGTCATAAAACAGCATCACATCACTGCGCCGGATAGGTCGTCAAAACAAAATGAGCGTTCAAATTAAAAGAAAACGGCATGGAGAGTGACAGCTGGGTTCCATTGACCCTTGCCGGTGTCAACTCTGAGCTTATCTAAATTTTATGTTCTAAATCAGCCAGATATCTCTGGCGACACCGGTATTTCGCGCAATACCAACCAAGGCAACAAAAAACAGCAAATTTTTTGGCAACCGGGGTTTCTCGGGGTTTAAAGCTGTGACGACGCCGAATCCTATGACCAATCGCAACCTTAGATTGACGTCCGAATTCGCAGCAGGGGTTTAGAAACAATGACACTTTTTTGTAATGCTTAATATTCTGGAGCACACCTCTCTTGATGACTACCTCCCTTGACTACTGAGGCCTTGTTATAGAGCCTTGATTACTACCGTCTTATCTAATCGCGTGCTTGTAAAACTCGAGTTTTCTCGTGACCATGCAAACATGGATCTCATGTCTACATGCATCAGTTTTTTGTTATACTGGTATGGTGCAAACACACTAAATGCATATCGCAACACAGACACGAGCATTTGCGCCTCACATGTACTCGCCATTGAAAGGTAACAACGCTCATCTGCCAAACACTCGACGGCCCTGCGCTCTGCGCCCTAATGGTGGCCTTGAGGGTTAGACGCGCACTTGTTTGCTAATGAGGGGGTCCCATTCGCGGATACGTATTACTGTTAGAGCGACAAGTCCATGTCTCGGTGTGGGGCATGCGACGACTTTTGTGTTACTGAGCATTTGGCGAGTCAGGTGGGTTTGTGTTGGGTCTCCGTGTGTGCGTGGGCCGCCGTTTTGCAGCTGCATGGTCAGGCGTCTGGATACTGTCGATGCTATGTGACCAATATACGCACTATAAGATAGAAGGGCACAGTCTCCTATCCTGGATTGATGGTGATATATGACGTAGTTTTTTAGTGGAGCCGATTCACGCGAAGTTTTATTTTGCACGATCGAGGAGCATGCAGTTGGACTCCGGTAATCGAGGTTAAGTTAGATGATGTCATTGGCAATTTGGCTATTGTTGGCAAAAACTTGATTGGGGCGATGATAATGAACAATGCTTTGCGGGGATTTTTTGGTCAGCCTTATAGCCGGGGAACTTGTTAAAGAACAGATGGTTTGTATTCTGATGTTCTGTTTTTGGTTTCACTTCAGATACTTTCGTCCGTCCGATTTCATCCGTCCCTTTTATCCTGAATCTTGCTTCGTCCTGCGTCCTTGCGACACTCCGCTTGTCCGGGGCAGGCTGCACGCGTCAGCCACGATTGGGCCGAGAGCCCCGTGCGAGGGGGGACTCCGACCGGGTAACCGCGCATGCGCGGGTTAAAGCTCGGCGGTTGGCCCCCAAGCGCGCACACGTCTGTCCCATCGTTAACCATTTGCCTTCATTCCATAGCCCTGAAATGATCATGTCTGGTCGAAAGGGCTCTAATCCAAAAACCAAACCACTTCAGATACTTGGACATGGTCTGGTTGATGTGGTCTTCCACAGTACGTAGGTCGTAATCTTTGTTGGATAGGATTTGCTTAACTTGCCTAAGCTCCTGTTGTACAAGGAGCCATGATGAGCAATGTTCAAGGGCATGGTGCATGTGAGCCCGTAATACAATGGTTTTGTACCTGTCGGGACACATGCTCTCTCCGTTCATGCATTTGCCGGTGTCAGTAGGCATTCGGTGGACGCTGGTTGCAAGGGTGTCGTCTGAAGCGTTGGTGCATGCACATGCAGATGCATGAATGCGGCTAGCGAATGCTCAGAGCGTTCCGATGCGTTGTCCTGTTCCAAAGCGCCTTTGCCTGCGTATTGGATCTTGATGGGTTCTCCTTCAGCCTATTGTGTGTGAACCT